CCCCCCCCCCCCCCTAGAGAAGCCCTGGCCCAGGCCCCAGTTGCTGGAGATTGAGGACTGATTGAGATTGGAGGTCTTGGAGACCAGATCTCCCTCATAGAGGTGATGACCTGATGTTGTATGATGGGATGTCGTGGACTTGCTGATAGATGATGGTTGATGGACTTCTGTGTGGGAATCAATGAGAACTAGTATGTTTGAATCAGATTGATGAGAAATTTGATAGATTACAAGTCGACATTTTTGCTAGACACGTTCTTCAAAACAACTAACATTTTCAAAAAAACACAGAAAACCACAAATCACAAAAACGCGTAAAAGCCACACCCGCATAACGTCGTTTTCTGTTCTTTTTAATCCCCAACAGGGGGTTGAGTTTTTCAAGGGCTTTCAGAGGAAAAGGGAGGGAAAGGGTTCGCTGGTCAATTCCATTGACATGCCATGTCAAGACAATTCCATTGCGCTATGATGGATAGAGTGCATTTCATATTTGCTACACCCCCCCAAGACCGACATTTTCATGTGTGATTCACAGGCATTGTAGTCAAATGGCCCTTGTGCACTATGGAATGGATTGAAATCAGGTCAGTGGTTGCTCTTCATGAGACCTCTTGTTGGTATATTGTTAACATAGGATTAAGTAATCTTCCACAAATAATGTTGGATCCTGATTAGTAAAGGGCCCCCCTCTAACAAATGGAAGAGCCTCTATAATAAACTACCACCAAAACAAATCTGGGTTCCTGGGAGGATTCCTTTTGTAATTGATCGTAGTATTCATTGTCCTTTCTGAATTCTTTGTCATTAGATATTTTTGCAATCCTTTCATACTACGACATAAAGGATTGATTATATAAGGAATTGCTGGCTTTGGGAAGCCGTGAGTTTTGAAGAAGAACTTGAGAAACCTATACTTATCAATTATCAATACTCTCAGCAAGCCAACCATTGGCTTAGTAGTAGTAAAATTATAAGAATTACTATTGTTATGTTTCTTCAGGAAAAAACGTTGCACAATTGAGGACCTGTAAAACAAAATCATTATTGAGGATCACGGGCCTTCCTGGTCTACTACCTTGAAAATTTGTTTAGGAGCAATCTTTACATAAAGGATTGATGAGGGAATTGATGGTTTTGGGAAGCTGTCACTTTGGAAGAATAACTATAGAA